ATTTTTGATATCAGTAATCACATGGTTACTAGTACTGATGTCTCTTCTTGATATCAACAATTTAATTGTCACTAGTGACAATGTTCATTTCTGATATCTGAAAATGTATTTCTGATATCAACAATTGGGAGGGTAATCTAAAATGACTAAAATGACTTTTTTTACTAGTAATAATCACATTCATGATATCAGAAATGAACATTGTCAATTAAATAGTGGAATTTATATTTTTACTAGTAACCAAGTGATTACTGATATCAAAAACAAAGGTTTTTATTAGTAAGAATTGTATTTCTGTATTTCTATAATTGGAATTTCAACTAGTAAGAAATTAATTCTTGATATCAACAATTGATTTTGAATGGCAGCCTATGGTGACATTTAACTAGTGAAAATACAATTACAGATATCAAGAATTATAGTTTTTACTAGTTGAAATATAATTCCTGATATCAAGAATTAACATTTTAACTAGTAAAAATTGAATTGTTGATATCAAGAATTAACATTGTTAGTAGTGGAAATGTAATTGCTGATATCAAAAATCGCAATTGTTACTAGTAGAAATCTAATTCCTGATATCAAGAATTAACATTTTAACTAGTAAAAATTGAATTGTTGATATCAAGAATTAACATTGTTACTAGTGGAAATTGAATTGTTGATATAAAAAATTCTAATTGTTACTAGTAGAAATCCGATTCCTGATATCAAGAATTAACATTTTAACTAGTAAAAATTGAATTGTTGATATCAAGAATTCATTGTCACTAGTTGAAATGTTAATTCTTGATATCAACAATTACTTTTCAACTAGTAAAAACTAATAGACAGATAGATAGATAGATAGATAGATAGATAGATAGAGAATGCAGTCAGATACCAAATTCTATCACCTTTCACATAAAATTAAAATTCAACCTCTTTTTTTTCTTTTTTTTTAATACAAATATATTTGTTTATATTAAATATTTAATATTTAGTATTTGTTTTCTTAATACACATTACTGGTCTTATTGTGTACAATTCATTAATGCATTTTTAAATATAAAATGCATTTTAAAAATAATTTTTGTTGACCTTGTAAATAAATAAAGAAAGGTAATCTTGACTTTTTATGTCACAATTTGGAATGAGTTTTTTTGCAATTCTGAATAAAAAAGTCAGAATTGTGAGATATAAACTCATAATCTTGACCTATTCTTTTAATTCCGAGTTTACATCTCACAATTCTTGCAATTGTATTTATTTTGTTTCTGCTATGGAATAATAAAAAAGCAGTTGTGAGTTTATATCTCACAATTCAGACTTTTCTGTGAGTTATAAACTTGCAATTGAAAGTTAATGTCTTGGAATTCTATTTTTATAAAAAAAAAAAATTCAATGTGCTTTACATTAAAAATATTTTAAAAATAATCATAATTAAAACAGATGCTTAATAAATAAAACTGATAGATAAAAACAAAAAAAATTTTTATTTAAGAATTGTGATATAAAAAGATAAAAGCTAAAAAAATTTTTTTTTTTTAATTATTCTGTCATGGAAACAGGCTTCCATATAAAACTACTTTAATCATTCATATTATATAGATTATGCATTTATTAGTCATGTGTAAAGCTTAGGACAGAAAACATCAGATGTGTTTTTGGTCATTCAGATGTTCTCCATGTAAACATGCTGTTATTAAAATAGCATTAGAGCAGTTGATAGCAG